TTTTCTTTCTTTTCCTGAGTAGTTCATAATAGTGAACAATTATATTTTTTACCTGATTCTATATAGTATTACATTTTAATATAATTTTTTCTCTCACCTCCGCTTCTTTATATATTATCCAGACTTTTATTTATTTCTTCCTTTTAGTTCCTAAATGCTTAACATCCCATTTTCATTCAGTGATGATGATGATGATGATGATGATGATGATGATGATGATGATCATTAATATTATTATTCATTCACAGGGGACTATTTATTTTAGTAAAGTGCTCGCTTACTAAGTTGGACTATTCAGATAGCTTGGCTTTGCAGCCTATTGAGTGCCTAGGAAGTTTTCTTTGACACTCCCATTATATCTGGGAATCATAGTCAAAAGAACTGTTTGGAATTGTCAACAATTTGATTAATACAAGCTGTCTGAAATACCCTATAGAGTAAAAAGTAAATTCTTTGCTGTGAAGACTTTTCCAAATGCTTCATGAATAAAATAGCTTCATTTCTGTATGAATTAGCTACTTCCATAGTAACGGTCACAATTCCCTTCCATCTTATTTCCCTAAAGTTTGGGCCTTTTTCCAGAAGGAGGTTTTATACATTCTGCATTTTTGATACTATCAATTACAGAAAGGTCAAATGCCATATAATCAAAAAGAGGTTATACCAGAAGAGTTCAAACTTTTTGGTCTTAGGACCTCTTAATGCTCTTAAAATTGAGGACCTCAAAATGCTTTTATTTATGTGGGATCTATGTGTGTCTATATATATATTATATATATATAATATATATATTATATATATATATATATGTACATATAAACACACATATATCAATACTTAAGATATTAGAAATTAAAACATCTTAGTATCATTACAAACTCCCCAGGTAGCCATCAGGGCTAGAAAATATCCATCTCTCAGGATCTTGTTTTGGTAAAGTAGGCAGGGAAGGAGAGAGAGAGAGGAGACAGAGAGAGACAGAAAAAGACAGAGAGAGACAGAGAGACAGAGAAAGAGAGAGAGAGACAGAGAGAGGGGAATGGTAGCCAAGAATTTGACGTTTTAGGTCATTTAGGCAAGCACAGGTTCTCACTGCCATGTTTTTGCAGCCACCATATTGGTTGAAAAAAAAATCCATCTCTCTCTCTCTCTCTCTCTGACTCTCTCTCTCTCTCTCTCTCTCTGACTCTCTCTGTCTCTCTGTCTCTCTGTCTCTCTGTCTCTCTCTCTCTCTGTCTCTCTGTCTCTCTCTCTCCACCCCCTTTATAGAAGTCCAAGGAGAGCTGGGAGAGTCCTAATAATATCAAAAGAAAGAGGTGGAACTGTGTCTCATAACTTAATGAAGTGACATTTCATTTCTTCCTGGCCCAGTCACCAGCTGTCTTCAACAAAATCCCTCTCACAGGAAAAAATAGGATATTACTGACCCATCTCAGGAAAGTGAAGCACAACACCTTCCCTATGAAGCCATGCCTACTTCCATGAGAGGTGCCCAGTCCAGCAGATGAAGGAATTTCCCTGATACAATAACAATAAGGGTGGTATATATTGGACTTAGAGTTAAGACTTGGCTTTTTACCCCTCTTATGACACTTAATGTCCGTATGATCGTAGCAAATCACTTACTCTTTACACCAGTAGTCCTTAACCTTTTTTGTGTCATGGACTCCTTATGTCCTCAGAATAATATTTGTTACCTGCATTTATAACTGAACAAAAAAAAAGTTTAGCTTTGGTTAGAGGTTGGTAGAAATAAAGATGTACATTTTTTACATAAAAAATTAATGAACCTCTGAAATCTATCCATAACGTCCCTCGTGGCTTTATAGATCCCAAGCTGAGTCCCTACTCTATGGACTGCAAGTAATTATTTTGTACTTATCTATGGAAGAAATGAGTTATGTTCTTCATTGTTTAAGGGATTTTCCATAGCAAGAGTCCCCTATGTTAATGAAACTCCTGCTCTTTCATACATTCACTTATTATTATTAATTATATCCATTAACAAATAAGTTTTTAGCTCTGTCTAGTTTTTACCTGATTTTTCTTCTTTTTCCTTTCCCTAGTAATTGTTGCTAATCACATTTGCGTAGTACTTTAAACTTCTGAAAGCACCTTTGCCATGACCACCCTGAGGATGAGAGAGGCCAAGCAAATTGCCTAGGGTTTCCTGGACAAAGATTTATTCATTTGTGCTAATAAACCTCTGGCATAGTTTAGAGAACATCAATAATGAACATTTTCCTTTGAATTACTTGAATCCTAGGATCTTTGATTAAAAAAGTGAAGTGAGCCAAAGATCATCTCACTCAACCCACTTTTTACAGATGAGAACACCCTCATCAACTTGTGCAGGATCTTACAAATAGTGAATAGCAGATCTGTAATCTAACCCCCTTCTCTAAATCCAATATATGACCAAGTATTGGAAGGGCTATGATGGGGAAAGAAGATTAAAACTTGTTCTACTTGATTTCAGGGAGTAGTTCAGGGAAGTTGCAAGGAGGCAGATTCTGGTGGGGGGGGAGGTGAAGGGGAAATCAGAATAAATAACCTAAAAATTAGAGCTGTCCCAGAGTGGAAGAGATACTTTCAAAAGTACAGAGTTGCCCCTCATGAGGGAGGTTGGATAACAATTTGTGAGTTGCTTTATAGAAGGAATTCTTGTTTTGTTTTGTGTTGGACCAGCTGAACTCTGAGGTTCTTTCCAACTATGATACTCATTAATTTTGGGAAAGATAGATAAGTAACTGTCTATAATTTAATGTGGGGAAAAAAATTTGAAATGGAGAAGACAAGAGATGGGAAGAAATATGGGTCAAATGGCATTCCAAAGAATTGTAATGAAGAATTCTTTGGTTTATTAACACATACCCTTAATAAATATTAAGGACTTAGACTATAAGAGTTGAAATATTTACTGACAGCTGATATTCCCTTATTGGTGCTAAAACTGGAGACATGAAGAAGTTTCAGCTGGGGTAAAATTAAGGATTCAGGCTACTTATGTATATTAAGCATGAACATGTTATACTGTTTCTCTTTCTTTGCTTCTGTAGTATCAGAAGATGATGTATTTAGGAAAGAACTTGTATAGGTATATTTTTCAACCCCCTCATTTTAGAAGTGGAGAAACATAACTTGCCCTACATCAGGCAGAATTGAATACCAATGTCTCTAAATCTAACATTCTTAGCTCAATCAATCTCACTGAAGAGAATTCACTTTCACTAATACAACCCTCACTTATTTAAAGCCAAGTTACTCTTCTGGACCCTTCTCTCAAAATACTTAACTCCAAGGAATTGATACATTTAATTTAATTCAATTTAATAAGTAACAACTATGCTCTAGGCACTATGCTCTGTTAGAAATACAATAACAACAACAAAAACAGTCCCTGACCACAAGGAGTTTCCATTCTATTGTTACAGGAAGGAGAGGGAGATAAGGCATACAAATATATGTGTATGTGTATGTGTATATATGTATAGATAGATATATGTATGTGTCTATGTCTATGTCTGTGTCTGTACCTATATAATATACATAAAATAACTAAAGAATGATTTCAGGTCAGCGGTGAGCCCTAATAAAGGGGACCTCACCAGAGGGGTCCTGCAGGAGATACTATTTGAGCTAAGCAATAATAATGATAATAATAATATCATAATTGCTAATATTTATATAGCACTTTAAGAGTTGCAAAGTGCTTGGCCAATATTAATCTCATTTCATCCTCACAACAATCCTGAGAGGTAGGTACTATTATCATCCCATTTTACAGTGAAAGAAGCTGAATCATACAGAGGCCAAGAGACTTGCTCAAAGTTACATATCTAGTAAGTGTTTGAGGCAGAATTTGATCTGAGGTCTTCCTAATTCCAGGTGCTGTTCTTTCTGCACTAGAAGTAATATGAAATCAGTTCAGAAAGATAGGATAGGACCTGATTGAAAGTGATGTTCAACACCGTTCAGAGAAATTTGTATTTTATCCCTAGAGGCACTGAAGTTTCTTAAAAAGGAGAGTAACAGTAAGACTGTTTTCAGAATATCAGTTTCACAACTCTGTTGATCAGTTGGAGAAGGCAGACAAGAGGCAGAGAGATTTTAAGAGGGCTATTTAGAATATCCAAGTGAGAAGGGATGAGTGTCTAAACTACTGTGGTGGCCATGTGAGTGGAACTGACTAATGTATGAGATGTAAGGAGTCAAGGGACTAAATTTCAAAAACACAATCTGCTGCTTATTATCTGTGAAACAATTAGTTCATCACAATCTTTTAGGATATAGTTTTCTCCTCTCTAAAATAATGGAGTTGGACTAGAAAATCTCTAAAGCCTTTTCAAGCTATGAAACTATCCTTGGGGATGCAGATTTCATTCTTATGGAAAATCAGGCAGGATATAGGTAGATCGATAGGCATGTATATGTATGTGTGTGTGTATGTATATATGTATACATGTAGTGCTTTGCCTAATCTAACAATGTGTCTGCATATGTATAATATGCATATTTCAAAGGTGGTAATTCTATGACTATTCTTTAATTCTTTATTACATGACTGGTACTTAAGAAGTCTTTGCCCAGTGGACATTTTTTGGGGGGAATGGGATATGTATGTATGTATGTATGTATGTATGTATGTATGTATGTATATATGTGTGTATACATACATATATACATACATACATACATACATACATATATAGTTTTTTTTTTAATTATGCCTAGAAAATTCTTATCTTACAGTGTCATAGCATCACCTCTTCACCTCTTCCACTATACATGTCCATAATGAAGTTTTTCTTCATGCCTCCAATTCAATAAACCTCTATGAACCAAAGCTCCTGTGGATATCAGAGGGAAAAAAGAAAAAAGAAAGAAAAAAAAAAAACAGGATTAAGGAATTATTATAGCATCTACAGTGACTATACTGCCCTCTAGTGTCAGAAGCACATAACGTGCTGTAATTTATTTGGTGTTTTTGTCCTTTTCAGATCAGCATCTTCATGACCCATTTGTCCAACTATGGGAATGACCGCCTGGGGTTATACACCTTTGTGAACTTGGCCAACTTTCTGCAGAGCTGGACAAACCTGAAACTGCAGACACTGCCTCCAGAGCAGCTGGCTCACAAGTACTTTGAGCTCTTCCCAGAGCAGAAAGACCCTCTCTGGCAGGTAGGATTGACTCAGAAGTGGTACATTATTTGTAAAACAGAGATAAACTAAGAATAAAAAACAAAACAAAACAAAACATGTCCAGCAATAGCACTTTTTTTTTCTTCTTCTACAAGACAATATTAACTGATACCTGAAGAGTCAAAGCTTTTAGTGTCCTATACCTGGAAGATCTGGGTTCAAATCCTACCTTAGACACTTACTAGCTGTATGATACTCAGCAGGTCATTTAATCTTCCTTAGCCTCAGTTCTCTAATCTATAAAACAGGGATAATAATAATACCTGCCTAAAATCATTGCAAGCATCAAATGAGATATCATATGTAGAATGCTTTGCAAACTCAAAACATATTGTGTTAGCTGATAATACTGTTATTATTCTATATCATCTAATTATTTCAAGAGTTGGCAGATTTTAGTAGCCCTTGCATTATATGGCTGAAAATCTTCTGACTTTTTAGCTAAACGTAAGTAATTGCCTTGGTGTCTAAACAATATTTCCACGGTAATTTTTAGGATTGTCAAGATAATGATGATGTGATCCAGACCTGTAATTTCTTCAAAGGTATGGAGAATTCTGAATGTGGAAACTGCTCCCACTGCATTTTCCTTTTACAGATTATGAGAATGTATATAATTTATAGTTTTGAAGGGTTAGTTGCCCAGGACACTGAGCAGATAAGTGACTTACCCAGAGTCACACAGTTAGTGTGTATCAGTGATAGGACTTGAGACCAGGTCTTCCTTATTTCAAGTTGATCTCCAAGTGCTATATGATCGTGACTCTTATTCTATAGTTATCAAAAGTCACAAAATGCAAAAATGCCAAAAAAAGTCTTCATTTAGCAGAGCTTCTCAAATCAGAAATGGAAAGTATTTTTTTTATTGTTATTTATTTGGTAATTAACTCACTTATTTTTTTTGTGTTTACTTATTCATTTATTTAGCTTTACTTACTTCATTTACTTACCTATTATTTACATATTTATTCATTTCTTGATCTATGTTTTGATTTGTCTATTTATTTTTACCAGGCTGAAAGTGTAGGAGAGTGTATTAGGTAGGAAATGTTTATACTTAAGGATATCTAGGTAATGAATAATTAAGGAGGCAAGTTGTCAGAGTTATTAAAGGGTGGTGGACAATATAGGAATGATTTCAAAACCTAGGCACTCCAATGATTCATGCAACTTTGGAAGGAAAATTTCATAGGATTACAGCATGGCTTTATCACTGAAAACAAGACAAATAATCAGAGACAAAGACAAAAAGGCAGGTGTGTGTGTGTGTGTGTGTGAGAGAGAGAGAGAGACAGAGAGAGAGAGACAGAGAGAGAGAGAGAGAGAGAGAGAGAGAGATGGGAGACCGAGGAAGGGGAGAGAGATACAGAAAGACAGAGGGACAGAAAGAGAGACAGTCGGGGGAGGGTGACCTGGGGCAAATAAAACCCAGATTCATGTTCTCCCTCTGACCAATCCTGGATGTGTGACCCTGTGCAAGTCCCTTAACCTCTCGGTGCTCTAAAGAAATTTGAAGACCCTAAGTTACAGAGAAGGTGCCTACCTGCATTGGCAGAGATGATTTCCTCACCAGAAAGTTCCCTGGACCAGTGACGTCACAGATCTAGTCCTTGTCCCTGATCATACTTTTCTCCACGCACGTTTTCTCCCAGGACACAGAAGAAGAGATTTTGCTGCTCCCTATAGCTGAAGAATTAAAATAAAATTCATTTTACCTCTAGTCTAGTAGTTGTTTGGGGATGTTTCAGAGACAGGGCAAATCCTGGAGGGCTGAATCCACTCTGGTGCCAGAGAAGCAGAAATGGCAACACAGGCATGTGCTCTAACCCTTTGCACTGCATTTACTTCAAGGCTCTTTTTTGAGGGGTGCTGTAAGGCAAAGTTAAAGAAAGCCTTAAAGTAACAGCTAACATTTATGGGTTTTATTTATGTTATATACCTTGATCCTATCAAAAACCTTTGCATTCTGTACTATTGGTTTCACCTCAGCTTTACAGATGAGAAAACTGCAACTCAGACAGGTTAAATAATTGGCCCAAGTTGACCCAGCTAGTAAATGTTGGAGGACAGATTTGAACTCAGGCCTCACCTGACTCTTAATGTATCACTGTACCATCTTCATATTGCTTACACTTTGATGATTACAATTTGACTCCCATCTCTATTTCCAGACCGATTCGATGTTACTCCCCTTTAGACATTCTATGTTTCAGCCAAACTGGACTCCCTATTGTTCCCCTTTAAAGAAAAAATAGAAAAATGAAAAACTTCAGGAATGCATGGATCTATAAATTGGAGGTGCCTCAACTCTGACTTCTAAGTCAATTGTCACAGAGTACCCTAATCACAGGCAAAAGTGAACACAGCCTAAAAAAAAAGTAGACTTTGATTAGGCTATTGAAGGCCATATAAGACAACAGGAAAAGTCCTAGATCTGGAAGTAGAAACCTGGGGTTCAAATCTCATCTCTGATTTTTAACCTCTTAACTCTATCTGTAAAACTTTGGGCAAATCACCAAATCACCCAACTTCCCTCATTCTCAGTCTCTCATCTTTAAAACAAGAAAGTTAGCTAATAGATTTTCAGTGCTTGATCTCAGCAATCTAATAGTTACAGCCATGCTTACTTTTTAAGGACTGCGAATCAGTATCACACAATAATAGCCACTATCATCAAATGTAATTCTCCTATTAATTTAACACCTTTTTTTCCATGGTATACATTGTTATTACAAGTGACAAATTCCAAACTGATTCCTTTACAAGGCAGCTGACAAAATGAATATTCTAATTTTTTTTTTCTTTAAATTTCTTCTGGGTTAAAAAATAAGCTACAGCTTTAAAGTGCTACAGTCTATAGTACTTATTTATAGAGCAGAAATATAATCTGGGCCCTCTTGACCACTTTTGAGAATAGTAATAAAATATATCATAATCCTAAATTCTTTCCAAATAATATGTACTCTGATGTTGAAATTAAATGAAAGGAATATTAAGATGAATCTTTTTTTTTTTTTTTGGCTAGGCAATGGGGGTAAGTGACTTGCCCAGGGTCACACAGCTAGTAAATGTTATGTGTCTGAGGCCAGATCTGAACTCAGGTCTTCTTGAATCTAGGGCCAGTGCTCTATCTACTGCACCACCTAGCTGCCCCAAGATGAATCTTACGTAAAGAGTTTGCATATATGTAGTACTAGTCAAATTAATCAAATTAACAATTAACTTTGTCCTATTTTAAAAGCGACATTTTCAGTTACTCTAAGAAAAAAGTTACATTTCTACATTTTCTAAACATTTGTACTGAAATTAAGGATATCTAACAAAAACAGTTGGGCTTCTCTAAATACTAGTTCTATTATTGGACAGATCCTTATCATTTAAAGCTCAGCAGGAAGACTTAAAGAATCCTATAAGATAGGAATCTGACCCATTATATTTTAGTTATTTATTGCGTACTGATATTCTAGCATCCTTTAGGTTAACAGGAATCCCCTGCATAGGAGGCTAATAAGACCAAGAGAAAAACCATTATAGAAAGAAATTGAGATTTTAAAATGTTAGTAGAGAAAGTATTGAAATACTCAATAATGTGAGGCTATTTTCTCAGTGATCTATAGTGATTCTCTTCTCCCCTATTTCCATCCTCAGTGGAATATCAACTTCACTATAGAATGCCTGTGTATAAAAGATTCACTGATGCTACGCCACAAATTTTTACTGGTCTAGGAGAAAAGACAGCACAGCCATGCTTCCTGAGAAGGTTTTGAGTAGCTGGGGTTCAAGAATTGTCAGACAGTACCAAAAAATGTTTTAAATTGGTCCCTGATGCTTATTCTTTTTCCCCCCAATTAGAATCCCTGTGATGACAAACGCCACAGAGATATCTGGTCTAAAGAAAAAACCTGTGATCGATTACCAAAATTTTTGGTAATAGGACCTCAGAAAACTGGTGAGAGCTCTTTCTTTATACTTTGATGTAATTAGTCATATAACAAGCCAAATGATCCGAGAGTTTACATAGTACTTTTGTCACTTTGAAAATGCTTTCTTTAAATTCCAAAGAACTAAGACTTTCTTTACAGGTAGAATCATTGTTTGGCTCAATAACATCCTTAAGTACACATCAAAGTGATTTTCTTTTTCTCAAGTTGAAAAGATGAAAACAAATGACATGCTGGTTGAATATGTAAATTCCATGGCAAATGTTACCTATTCTCACAGGGCTTCATTGACAAGTGTTGTGATCACCACTTCTAAAATCAAGTTCTTCATGTAATCTCAGGATGAATGATAGAACTTTCTCAAAAGTCAAGTGGGAGACATTTAAGTATATTTTCTCCTGTACAGTAAATACTTCACAGGGAGGAAAAAAAAATACTTTCTTAAGTTGTCAGTCTTCCCAACATGGTATACTGCTAAACTGACTCTTTGGCAGACGTGACTATTTTTAACAAGCCAAAAGATGCCTGACATGCTGAACTCCTGGATATAAACAAAGCTTTGTGCGGTGTATAGGAATGGAGATATTGTGCATCCATACCTAGCAGAAAGTCATCCAACCCCCTCTAACATTTAAATTTCTTTCTCACAAACTACTTACTTCCATATGATTATTAAAACAAGGTCCAGCGAAAGCTTAGAACTGTTATCCCTGGACTTTAATCTTTATCCTCTAGGATGGATTCTGCAGGATTGTGGTTGACTCTCTTGGATTTTGGCTGCATAAATAGTTCACATTTATATAGGGTTTTAAGATTTGCAAAGAACTTTACACATATCTCCTATAAATTTCACAACAGCCAGACAAGGTTATTATCATCCCCATTTTGCAGATGAGAAAACAGAGGTTTAAGAAGTTACATGCCTTGTCAATTTGCTACAACTACTAAGTGTCTACTGCTGGGATTTGAACTCAGGTTTTCTTGACTCCAAGTCTCTAACACTCTGCCTGCTTTGCAACACTTCCTCTATACTTCTATTTATTAATGTCAACAAGCATTTATTGAGTGTTTACTATGCTCCAAGATCTATGCTACACAGATACAAAGACCAAAAAAAAAAAATCTAACAAACAAAAAATAGTCCTTGCCTTCAGGGAGCTGACATTTTATTGGTTGGAAACAACATGTGCAGATATAAGCCAAAACAAAATACATACCAAGAAAAGATTTCAAGAGGGGAAAATATCAACAACTGGGGAGATCAGTGACATTCTTGTGTGCAAGGTGGTGCATGAGCTGTGCTTTGAAGAAATCTACAAATTCTTCAAAATGGAGGTGAGGATGGAGAACATTGCAGCAATGGAGGGACAGCCTCTTAAAGTCATGGACATAAGAAATGGGCGTTAGTAAGGCACTTTGGCTGAAATTCAGAATACTTGAACTGGAGTAATATGAAATCCGTTGGAAAAAACCAGATCCGAAAGATTTAAAATGTCAGACAGAAGAGTTCGTATTTTCTGGGAAGGAAAAGGGAGTCACAGACAGGGAAGACGTGTGGTACAGTAGAAAGAGCAATGTACTTTGAGTTATTTGATCTGAGTTTGAATCCTAACACTGAGACTTACTAGGTTGGTGATTCCAGACAAGTTATTCTAAAGATCTTTCTGTGTCTTGGTTTCCTCATCTATAAAATGAAGGGGGTTAGATTAGATAACCTGTAAGGCTCTTCCAGGTCAAGATCTAGGCTCTTATGATATTCCTGAGCAGCAGTGTGACATGGTCAGACACATGGTTTAGTACTATAGATAAGACTGGTCCCCGAGAGAACGCGGCATGATGAACCTGTTTTACCTGTTTTTTTCCATGTGCCCATTTCTATAACTGGCCTGACACATGAAAGCCTGAGCATATTCTAACACTACTTAAAGGTGAGATGAATGTCAGAGGTGAGTGGTAGAGGTAGAGAACCATAGTATCATGGAGTCTTAGACTGGGAAGGAACCTTAGAAGTCAGGTCAACTCCCAATCCCAACTCTCCAACATCCCTGATTGATTTATTCCAGTTTCTGAACACTTTATTAATGAGAATGCATCTCCACGTTTTTAGTTTTCCACCTAATACACAAGGATCAGCTGTGTCTCCTTTCATTTTTTTTTTAGATAAAAGTAAATGAGTTTCAGGGAATAGAGTACTTAATTTTCAAAGAACATCTTGGACTCTGTTTCACAGTCATTATACATAACATTTGTAAAGAAAATGTTTTCTTGTCATATCATAAGCAAACGAGTTTTAGTCTATCCATTTATCCACAGTCACAAAGAGTACATATGATTGGATTCAGGGATAATCTCATCCAGAATTACTCAGTGTTCCATGGAACCTTTGTGTTCTTCAAGATAAGTAATAAACGCTTGTTTAATTGAATTGAATTGGAAATGAAAAGGAGTTCTGTGTGAAAATGTCTATAACAAAGATATTTTGCCCTATAGTATTAGATGCAAAATTTTGCATGCCTCATAGATTTTGAGCTGGAAGGGACTTTAGGGGTCACTTAGTGCAACCCCTCCTCATTTTACAGATAAGGAAACTGAGGCTCAGAAAAGTGAAACAACTTTTTCCCAAGCTTTCCAACTAGTAAGTGTCAGAGGTGAGATTTTAAACCTCAAAAACCAATGCTCTTTCCGTTGTGTTATATTTCTTTTCCATAAAATGCATATTGTACTTGGTATGAAAACGTACATAATTTCTTCTATTTTGCTTCAAAATCTCCCCAACTCCCTACATATCCCAAGGGTAGTCATATACCTTGCACCTTCCTCATGCAACAGAGACATATACTTGTGGCACCAGAATTTATGAATCATTTTATTATATCTTAAAGCTAAAAAAAGTTTTTTGGTCAATTTAAAAAAAAACAATTTATTTAGATCTTATCTTTCCGTATTCACTTGCTCAACAGTATTGTCCTTGATAAGATGACTCATTTTGACATTAGATAGAGAGATAGATAGAACAGATACAAGGAAAATACTAAAAATAAAAGATCATAAAAAAGACTTTACGTAGTAAATAACATGCAACATAATAACTAAGTAGAATTGGGACAAATAATCACCCCCAATGAGAGATATACAGCATCACATGACCAAATCTGATGAACATTTCTAGACCTTGACGTGGAAGAAAAACTAAAATTAAACTGATGTGCTCTCAACAGACTACATGATTGTGGAAGTAATGTTAAAAAATATGGAAGTAGATGCTGCAAGAGCTGTTTCTGGCCAAAGCATACTAAATTTATAGATTAAAAATTGCCTATGTTATAATCCCTTTTATAGGGATTATAGAAGATAACATCATAGATCTAGAGATAGTAGGGATCTTAGACACATTAAGTCCAACCCCCTCATTTTTCAAATTAGGGAACTGAGAGGCACGGGAAGGTTATGTGACTTGCCCAGTGTTACACATCTAAGTGTCTGAGGCAGTTTTTCCTGACTCCTAGAAAAGTGTTCTCTCTATTACTCTGTTTTACGAGGTATTTGAAAAACTGATTTCTAGAATTCATCTGTCCAGAGTTTCATTTTTTATTTGTCCATCTAACACATGGTTAATTGTGATGGGGGTGGGGGGGGGTGGGGAGGATAACTCTGATCATGCATTTTAACAATTCTGTTAATTGGGTTTTCAAAAACCCCACCCCCACCCTCAGCCCCACCCTTGGAATCTGCAGTTCTTCTTAGGCCATGTGGCTCCATTAGGAAATGCAACATTTAAAATTGCTGTACCTGAAGAAATTGAAGCCTTTTTTTCTGTGAAATTTACATATTTAACACCTTGCTACAGGAAGTTCTATGAATATGGAAACATATTTCAAGCTAAATCCAATCTCCTGAACTGCTGAGATCTGGTCATTTAGTTTTGCCTCGAGTTTATCCAAGGCTCAGAGATTCTAGTAGGAACTTTACATGAGAACCTAGAGGCAGATTTGATTTTAGTATATCATCATACATTTTTTAGAGAGGTTTTTGCTTGTAGAGTGCTTCAATGTACATAATCTTTTCACTCTCACTCAAAGACTACAATGTAGGTAAAATAAGTATTTTGAGATGTAAAAACTAAAATACAAAGAGGGTAACCATGGATGACAGGATAATAGAGTTGGAAAGGCCCTTAGAGATCACCAAGTCCAACCCCCTAGTTCTATAGTTTGGGAAGCCTGAGTTCAGAGAGGTTGACACGCCCAAGGTCATACCGGAAATAAGTAGCAGGCCTGGAATCTGAACATAAGCTCTCTTGTTGCAAAACCAAAAAAAATTCTTTGTACAAGATCACATGGAAAATAAATAGTGAAGTAGGATAAGAATCCAGGCCTCCCAATGCCTAGTTCAGTGCCCTTTACACTGTATCAAACTAGCCTCCTTCAAAAAAAATAAGTTTTTATTTAATAAGCTTCTTTCTGTATCACCATAATTTTTCCAGTATCATTTTCCCTCTCCCTTGCAGAGACATTCAATATAACAAATACTATTTTAAGACAAAAGAGGGAAAAAATTCAGTATAATTGATCAATACATCAAAAAAGTCTCAAAATGTGCAACTCATAATACTCGTGAACCTTGTACTTCTGCAAAGGAGTGAAGTGGGTGTGTCTTCTCATTTCAGTTTTTTGAGCCTTGATTTTTCTTTATTTTTTTAATATTTTATCATTCCTTTCATTTACATTGTTGTAGTCATTGCATATATTGTTTTTTGACTCTGTATTGGTTCATGTAGTTCTCCTCATGCTCCTCTATATGCAAAACATTCATCCTTTCTTACAATGTACCACAATTTGTTTAGCCATTATTGATTGATGGGCATATCTCCTTTGTTGTTTAGCAATTTTCTTTACAATGTCAGAATTTCAAGAAATGAAATTCAAAAAATGTGCATGATACAACTGTTCAGACACTTATCTTCCTTATTTTCCCACTGACAAGAAATGATACTGTTCATTGGGAAATTATGCCTTGACTCTGTTGACCTTTGACCTTCTTTCCTCTTTCCAGGTACCACAGCTTTGTTTTTGTTCCTGGTTATGCATCCTTCCATCATTAGTAACTCCCCCAGCCCAAAAACCTTTGAGGAGGTACAGTTCTTTAATAGAAATAACTACCACAGGGGGATTGATTGGTAAGATGGGTTATTAGTATAAATCTAAAAAAGTATATATACTGTGCACAGTACAAAAAATAGCATTACTGCTCATAATGTAAGTTTGTAGACATTCCAAAGTGCCTCTGTGACCTGGTAATTGAGTGAACACTAGAAAATACGAAGATTGTAACTCACTTTTCTGCACTTGTGTAGGAACGTAGTCTTTCCAAGACACACACACACACACACACACAACTTACAATTTTATTAATTATGATGGAAATCATAGAGGCAGAGAGAAGTAGCATCCAGTAATTGATGCTCTTACTAAAATTAGTAGAACAAATTGCTTTTTCACACCTTTCAATTGAGAATATCATGTCTCTCTTCATGTATACTTGACATTATTATTACAGATGTGCATGTTTTCAACTTAGATTTGACTTTGATGTCAACAAATAGTAAGATTAGCAAGTTGTATAAGTTGTAGAACATAAAAAGCCACAGCTATCAATAATTAAGGCCTTAAGCAACTTAACATCAGGCTTTCAAATGAAAATTTAGAAATGTAGAAATCTAGTGCCAGGGTGGGAAGGTGGTATAAAGTAATTAAAACATGAACTCGCTAACATGTTATTTAAATGGCTACCTTTTTAAAATGTTCACTACTACTGTTAACTCGAAGTTTGTTCAGAAATGATTCTCTCCACACGTCGTTAGACTTGTTCTTTGGTATGTAGGCATAGAGGAGGAAATGCCGAAGTCTGAAGGTCTTATAATTTTTCGAAAAGAGTAGAATCACAAGCATCGTTGCATTGCTTTCTTGTAATGATTGCTCCTAAGAAGCAGAACATAGTTCTGATTTTGCAGCTTCTTTCTTTTAACTGCATGATCTCAATTTTATAAAAACAATGGACCTATTCCTTGATAACTGCTTTGGTATGTTCTGGATTGAGAGAGAGCAGAATGTTGAGTGTATGGCTTTCTGGTCTCCTAATTGTTGGACTCTTTATTGTCAAGTCGTATGGTCAGTTTTACATTTTGATTAAACATGAGACTCTCAGCTGATTTACAAGCAGTGAGAATTCAGAAATTATTTATTAATCACAGCAAAAGTCTTTTAATAACTGTTTACTCCAATCTGAATCCTATAGTAAAAGGAGAAAGCTTGATGCTAGCATAAAGACAGACATGTAATCAAAATAAATTACTTTTTCCTCCCCCTTTCCTTCCATCTGACAGTGAGTTACAAAGCTTGTGCCCAGTGTCTAGGAAGAATCTCTTTCCCCGAAGGAATGATAGAAGAGAGGATTTGTTTGGAAAGACTTGGTTGTAATACTTGGTTACTTAGGATTCACAGGGATGAAAGGTGCAATGGAGAGGCAGAAGGCATGCACTAATAGACTACAATAAGTAACAAAGAATTATCAAGAAAAGACATAAAGATTTAATCCAAGAAATGTATGACTAGTTCAAAAGAAAAGAGAAAAAGGTTGGTCACATAGCGAGAGTGAGAGGTAACTGTTGATCAATGTGCTTCACAGGGATCCATGAAGTCAAGAGAACAAGATAGTGGACTCCCTCTGGTGGATATACAAAGGGACATAGACAAAAGCTACACAGTATTGACATTCACTAAGGGGCTACAATCTCTGTGGCTGGAGGGTATACTTAGTTTGGCAAGAGCACAGATTCATTGATGTATTTAAGAGTATAAATGTAAACAATCAGTGGAGGTCATTGTGTTGGGAAAACTAGCAATACAGAGAAGTAAAAGACCTGAAATTTACTCTCAAGGATCTTACAATATATCAGAAGTTGAAAAGTCAAATGATAACAAAATAGTTAAGTAGCATTTCGGAATTATGAAATAATAAAATGGAAACAGCTAGCATCATATAGGCTTTAAGGATAGCAAAATTCTTTACATATGCTATTTCATTTGATATGAGGTTAGGTGACTTGCTCAGGGTCACACAGTTAATAACTATCTGAGGTAAGATTTTAACTGAAGTCTTCCTGACTCCAAATCCAGCACTCTTACAACGATTGTTGTTGTCATTCTCAAAGAGGACCATGCTATCAGGAAGATGATTCCATGACTAGCAAGTGAATTGTATTTGAATGAGGGATGGCCATGCAAAATCACCAGTGTCTTCCCTTCCCTTCCCTTCCCTTCCCTTCCCTTCCCTTCCCTTCCCTTCCTTCCCTTTCCTTTCTTTCCCTTCCCTATCTCATTCTATGGAAAACTCAACTCTATGTGTTTCCATGAATCTCCATGGAGCAACCACCCATCATTGTGGGGGCCTTATTCTAGGTATATTAACATTGTGTAGGTAATCAGAGTAGCAGATAGGCAGTCAACTCTTATTCTTCACTCCACCTGGGTTCAAATGCTGGTATCTGCTCTATCCAGCTATGCAAATAGTAACCTATCAACACCTCATTCCATTCAGATGTGAGCTATGTCATACCATAAATCTTCCATGGGGCAACTACTTCTCTTTGTAGGTGTCTTCTTCTAGATTATCTTAACATTAAGTACATAAGCAAAATAAGCCATCCAACTGCTATCCTTCACTTTTAATATATAATTGACCTATGGCTTTTTCTGGTCATATATCTCTAAGATAATATAATTTATCTCTTCTATACAATTCATGATTATTAATATTCTGCAATCTATTTACTTACCACATGTCTCTACTACACAGCTCTTTGAATGAAATATACCTTTAATTCTTTGGAAATTCTGGTATTCTCTGATTCAGTCAGTTAGCCAATATAAACATTTATTAAGTGCCTTCTATGTTCCAGGCACTATGCTAATATATAAATATGAACAAAAAGAAAGTCACTCCCTTCAAAGAGCTTACAATCTAATAATGGTAACAACATGCAAAAGGAAGCTGAAAAGCAGGGGGTGGGGTGGTAGCTGCGGGCATGTCAGACAGTTCCAAAGAAGACCAAAATCAGTGGAGCTGGTGGGAAATGTGGAGACCCCCTCTTTAAATAAAGGCCCTGGAGTTCATGGACCTGCCCTCTAATCATAGGGGCAAAGGGTGCCAAGAAGATGTCAGTACTAGGCAGTTTCAATCTTACAGCATGATGGGGGCAGCTAGGTGGCACAGTGGATAGAGCACCAGCCCTGAAGCCAGGAGGACCTGAGTTTAAATCCAACTTCAGACCAAACACTTGATACTTACTAGCTGTGTGACCCTGGGCAAGTCACTTAACCCCAATTGCCTGAAAAAAAAAATCTTATAGAATGATGAGACTCTCCAATGCTGGGTTTCCTGGGGAAGGGAGACATGTTGGTGAACTCCAGAGAAGCCCCAAAACAATGTAGCTGGTTGGAAATGGGTATACACAGACATACAGCATCACTAAAAGAATATTGATGTTAAAAACATTGGTTCTTTGTTCAAGTGCTTTATCCACTATGCCAATGATATGCATTCCTTATTATCTAATATCAAGCTCAGATACCCCTGGAACCCGATTCAGCAGATCTTAGGATCCTACATCTAGAATTAGAAGGGACCTCAAAGGTCATCTAATCCAACCCCCTCACTTTTTCAGTGAGGAAACTGAGACCTAAGGAGGTTTTGACTTAAGATCACACAGGTAGCAAGGAACAGAACAGAGATTTGAACCAAGATCCTCCAGCTCCAGACTCAATGATCTTTGTACCATGACATACAGAAATGCCTGATGACAAGTTACCTTAACATCTTCAAACCTGTCATCTTATCAAGTTTACTATAGCTTGTAGACTCCCAAACAATTCCTAGAATCTTAGGGACCAATCTGGAAATAGCCAAGGTAACCTGAAAATATCAGCAGGTCCCTGGGATTCTCTAAGCAGCCCCCAAATCAGTCTAAATTTTTAAATTCTGAGCAGAAGAAACAAGTTGTTTGGTAACTGGATAAGCATCCACTAAGACATGTCTCAAATAGTTCCATTGGGCTTACATACCCTATTTCTTAGAAAAGGGCCACAAAGACCCACTGCTTATATTTCAGATTCCTACGCAATGTCCATAACAGCTAATAGTATGTCTATGTTGTTCAAAGACCAAAGGCATTATCTGTAGTGCCAATTAAATTTTGGGAACTAGAATCCTATGGAAGGCTTCATCCACATGAGACCAAGTGTGAAAAATGCACATACACTCATACATCAAAAGGAGTTGCTCAAATTTTGAAAAATACTTTGTTCAATAATTGGGAAACTGCTTTATTTTAATTTTGGTTAGTCCAAAGTCATGAAGGCCTGGATGCTTAGAGGAAGTAAAAAGTATACCATTACTAAAATAGCAGATCAGTAATCATAGAAGATAAAGAATGGACAGATTTTCCCTGGCAATATGATGCCAATCATGAACTCAACAAGACTTTTTAGATTGTATAAGCCAGAGAAATTGTGATTTTGTTCATTATGTTTAGAATATTTTTAAATGGTGAACTGCAAACATTATCTTCAGAAACAATCAATTGTATGCTGATTTATGAGAATAAGGGTTCTCAATCTGGAGTTGGGAAAATTCAAAGATAGATAGATAGATAAATAGATGGATAGATAAATATTGATAACTATTTCAATATAATTGGTTTTCTTTGTACTCATGTTTTATGTATTTTAAATCATTATTCTGAGGAGGATTCCACAAGCTTCATTAGACTGCCAAAGAGGACCATCAGAGAGAGAGAGAGACACACACACACACACACACACACACACACACACACACAGAGACAGAGACAAGACAGAGAAAGAAAGAGAGAGAGAGAGAGAGAGAGAGAGAGAGAGTTAAGAACTCTGGAGCTTATAAGATAAAAGATTTATAACTGGAAGAGACCTTAGAGGAAACCGAAGTCTTACTCTGGGTCACATGGTGGTTTTGAAACAACACAGAGATTTGAACTCTGATTCCAAAGCAATTGATGTTCTCGTTGTTTCAAGCTATCTTTCATATATATATGAGGATTGTCATTTTCTTGGAGTGTTCAGAACATCATTTATTTTTTCAGATTCAGTATTTGCCCTTGAGCTAACAGGAGCCCCTATACACATTGTGCTGATGCCTTACTGTCTTAGCAACCTAAAATCCTGCAAAACATTGGGGATAGGCCTGGGGAAGCCCATAAGCTATATCCTTTTATCGTGTTTTGTAGATTTGTCCATGTTTGATAGACTTTGACTATCACTAAACTAACCTGAAAAATGAGCATCTCAGAATGCAAAATTAGCACATATTTATGGACCCCAAAAGCAATCTAGCCTCTTGGGGGCCAATCTGAATAATAGGTAAGAAAATTACCTCTGATCTGTGATATTTCAAATTCAGGTATAACAACATCAACATGATACATGTGGGAGTAAATGAGTAGGATTTAATTGGGAAGATTTAACTGTTGATTATTTTTTTTTCTCCTAAATGAGTTGAAGGATTATATATTTAGAATTGGTCATATAGAGTTGGTCTAAACCCCTAAGTTTACAGATGAGGTTAACTGAAGCCCAGAGAGGTTAAACTATATGAGCAAAGATCACACTATTATTAAGTATCAGAGGCAGCATTCAGACTCAGATCATCTGATTCCAAGTCCAGTTCTCTATGTAATAAAGAGCCTATAGATACATTCCTTTTCATTGTTTACCACCAGCCCCTATTTTTGCCAGCAGATAAAATACAGAGATTGGTATGAATGTCAAAGGAACAAAATAAAGAGATTTTTCAAGGTTCATTGTTAGAATTCAAGTGATCCCTCTCAAGATTGTTATTTGGACCATTCTGTAGATTGCCCTAAAGAAGCTCAGTTTTGTTTATGAAAGAAAAAAAAATTTCTTTGACACCTTTAATGTCTTCAGCCAACAGGAGATAAACTACTGACTTGTTTTGAGAATTATGTTCCTTTTCTAGGTACATGGATTTCTTCCCCGTGCCCTCTAATGTCACTACTGACTTTCTATTTGAGAAAAGTGCCAATTACTTCCATTCAGAGGAAGCTCCCAAGCGAGCAGCATCTCTGGTCCCCAAGGCCAAGATCATCACCATTCTCATTGACCCCTCAGACCGAGCATACTCCTGGTACCAGGTATGAATAAAAATGAAAGCTAATGTTTATATAGTGCTTTACATTTTACAATTCAATACAGGCCTTCCTTGGATTTCCTTGTGGAAATTATTCTAATGAAAGTGTAAGGAGCCCTGGCCCTGCAGTCAGAGGAAATAGGTTCAAATCCATGATTTTAGACAAGTGGCTTCATTTCCCTGGGTCTGAGCTTTCTCACCTCCAAATTTAGAGTAGGTAGCCTCTAAGATCATTTACAATTCTACATCAGAGTTCTTAACTTGGGGTCTATGAACATTTTTTGTAATGTTTTGATAACTGAGTTTCAGTAAATTGGTTTCCTTTGTAACCCTACAAATTTTGTTTTGTGAATTTAATAATATTATCCTGAGCAAGGGTACATAGGCTTTACACTACTGTCAAATGACTGTAATGACATGCACACACACAAAATGCTAAGAGCCATCCTCTAGACCTGTGACATCTTTTAAGCAGCCATTTTTGCAGGAGAAAATTTTATTATTCAACCACTATGGTAGGTCTGTAGTGTTTGAAAAAAAAGAGGCAAGGTTTTTGGTACCTATTCATATGATTCCACAAAAATATGGACAATTTTTATAAAAGATCACATTTTTTTTTCTCTTACTGAATAAATTTCCTGAAAGCAATGTAATAGAGAACATTTATTTGTCACTTAAAGGTTTACAAAGCATTTTACATTTCTTACCTCGTTTGGTCCTTACAATAATCCTATGAAAGAGATGCTATCTTTACCCTCATTTTATAGATAAGGAACTGAGGCTGAGAGAGGTTAAGTGACTTGCCCAGAGTCACTCCTAGTACTATCTAAAGCAAGATGTGAGCTCCAGATTTCCTGACTCCAATTGTGTTGCTCTATCCATTCTGCCAAGTTATTTCCAAACAGGGCTGATTTTCCATGAAGTTGGTTATCCATGAAATCTTAAAAGTACAGTACAGCTGGAAACAACCATTATGGAAACTGAGACGCAGTGAGTTTAACTTATACAGAGTCACACAATTATTAATTATCAGATGCACAAATTAGGTTCTCCAGGTTCTCTAACTCCAGAGATGCTGCATTTTTTCCACCCTCTTGTGTGTATCTTTGAATTTCTTCATTTTAAAAAATTAAAGACCTTATAATCCTTTATCTTTAATATTCCTTATCAAATCCCTGTGTAATGAGTAACTAAGTAACTTTAAAATAGAAGAGAAAGTATATTGTAAAAGTTTAAGAGACTCCTGGAGCTCAAATGGAAAGGCAGGGGCAAAATCTGAGATAACAATTCTTCATCCCTGGGAGTTTAACCTTTTGAGCTTGCTGAATCACAGCATCTCTCCCCGACAGCATGCTCTTCTTAAGCACCAGGGAGCTAACACTTTGTGCAGGTAATGCTTATCAGAGAAACAGACAGCAGGAGATGCTGCTTTCCTCTGTAACAACTTAACAGACACTCCGTGAATATATAGCACTTGGTTAGTAAACATGTTAAAGAACAACCCCACGATATTTTAATAGTTAAATGAACAAGTAAATTGAAAAGCAACTTAAATTAAATATGAACCCATTTCAGCATCTCTGAAGTCCTCATTTTTGTGATGAGAAATTTCTACCTTATGGTAAAAAAAAAAAAGTATTTAACATATCACTATCATTCCCAGCCTTGGCTAGGCAGCCCAGATGTAATCAGTATTCTATAATCTTGGGAGAAAACCTCCAGGCAGCTCTTCATTAGCATTGGTAACAGGAGATGGGGAGATTGTGTAAAATTGGAAAGTCATGGAAAAAATTCAAGATCTCATATTGTTCATTAGTCAAGGGGTAACCTCACATCATTTAAAAAAAATAAACAGAATAATTGACAAATAGCAAAGCTGACTGATTGTAATCTCAGCCCTCTCTCCAACACTTTCAACTTCTAATGAAAGTAGTAATGAGCATATAAATGACCACAAGGCAAATAACCAGAATTAAGAAGAAAATGTAAGCCTCTAAATCATTGAGATAGGAATAATTAAGGGTAGACTGAAAAATGAGCCATCAAGATTTGAAAATGATAAGCTCTTTTAAATATTATAAATAACTAAACCACGCCACAGTGGTATAGGGCAGGCCAAAGGAAGAGTAACAGCTTACATTTATAAAGCATTGTATGCCCTAGAGTGCAGACTCACACATAAGAATTCATTTAATCTGCACCAAAAATCCTGTGGTATCTGTACAGTAGAGGAAGTGCTATTATCCCCACTTTACAGATAAAGAAACTAAGGCCCAGGAAAGCAAACTCATGTGTTCATGGTCAAATAACTAGGAAGTGGCAGGACTAGGGCTCACTTAAGGGAGTATTCACATTGGTGAGGTTACAGATGCATTCAATTGTCAAATTCACAAAATACATTACCATTAGAGAGATTTAATTTGTAAACCTCATAGGATAAATGAGGGAAAAAAAATCCTGGAGATTTCTCAGGGTAGATTTAGTGTTTTCAAAGGCTTTAATATTTAGACATAATGACAAAGTGCCTTCTACTGTAACTTAGAAGTATCACAAAGTAGACAGAAAACATTTGACAGTACTTGAGGGGGGCACTGTATATAGAATAAGGGTGAGTCCCATGATTGCATTTGCATAGGGAACTCCCAAGTGAGGAAACTCCCTCTACCAATGCATATCAGTAACTTCGATTCAATTCAGTAAACATACATTAGAAACCTATTATATGCCAGGCACTGTGCTAAGTGCTGGAGATACAAAAGTCTTAGGGATACTATAGTCTTAGAGAGGTTCCTAGACTATAGGCATTGAGAGGTTAAGTGACTTGCTCAGGGTCACACCATCAGTATGAATGCATCACATCAAGGATTTGAACCTAGGTTTTCTTGACTTTGAAACTAGCCTTCAATCGATAATAACATGCTGTTTCTCACACTTAGTATATAATGCAAATGATCCCAGTCTCCTACAAGCAAACTAAGGAACTTAAAAAGCAATACATCTTTCTGAATTCATCTCCCAGGGAAATACAATTTTCCTTTGTAATATCATTCTCAAATGATATTGCTTAAAGAATCCTATCAACAGAAATTCAACATATTTACAGACAAGTCTCTACATGCCTGTGGCATGGCTTTGAAATCATTTTCCCAAGGAAATATTTTCAAAAGGCTCTTCCAGAGCAAAGGTCTTTGCTTTCCACTTTTGATCTTCTCCCAAAGATTTGCTTGTCCTTGCTTATGACTGGATTGAGATGGCTTTCATGTTCCATTTTTCTACTGTAGCATCAGCGATCACATGAAGATCCCGCAGCTCTGAAATTCAGCTTTTACCAGGTAATCACAGCTGGTCCCCGAGCTCCCTCAGAGCTGAAAGTGCTGCAGAAGAGATGCCTAGTACCTGGCTGGTATTCTACCCATATAGAAAGATGGTTAACTTATTTTCCTCCATTTCAGGTATGTTGACAAAGCATTTTACAGCATATTAACATATAATTTAGTTGATAGCTTTGCTTCTTCGTCTAAAAAAAGGAGGAATAAGGAAAGTGGAGATAGGTAGATACTTATGCTTGTTTTTTACTTTCCCAGTGATTACCATTAGTCTCAAATAACTATTTCAATATAATCAGTCTCCTGTGTAATCCTAGATATTTTATTTTATGCATTTAAAAATACTGTTCTGAGAAGGGGTCCATGAGTTTCACCAACTGCCAAAAGTGGCCATGACATACAGAAAGGTTAAGAACTTCTGTATTAAATACATCATTCTTTTCCACAGTGTTCTTTTCTAGGTTGCTACTACAACATACTTGACATGATGTGTAAATGTGCATATACATTTATGTGTATTTGTGTACATATATGTGTGAATGTGGATATATATGTATATAGCCACACAAACATGCATATTTGAAGTGTGTGTATACATACATACATACACATAGTATTCTACAAATTACTTGGGGCAAAGTTATAATAAATAACATTATTTATTATTGTTTATTATTAAATATTAAATATTATTTAAAATAATAAATTAAATTCTTTGACATATTAAATGTTCCAGTTTTTGTATTTCTTAAAGCTTTGAATGTGCAATATGTCTTCCTTTTGCTATAACCACTTCTTTTACAAAATTTGGCATCAAATTCACAAGATTTTAACATTTTGTTTTTAATCTTCCTTATGAAACTACACTTATCACATCAGATATTTTAAGTATGCCTTTGACAAATAGTCAGTTTATCCAAGTCTAGCCTTGATCATAGCCCATAGGTTTTCAATGAAGTTTAAATTAAGCCAGTTTATCTCAATCTCATGGATAAATTTCTTAACCTTTTCTTTTGTGTGGCATGGTCTTATCCCCTCTTCATATGGAAATTTCTGTAATTCTGGAACAGTATTTATCAGAGTTCATCATTCTCTCAATGAGTAAAAAATTTCAAGGCCCATTGGAAGAAAAAAAAATGTCTCAAATATTTTTGAGGATGGTTGGCTTACTATCTGATGGAAATGCCCAGATTTTATATGCTCATCAGGACTCTATCTGACAAGACTTTTGGTATAGCTTTAAATTAAGAGTGAGTTTTATCAATAAAAATTACCTTTTCCCAATTGTCAGTACTCCAGAATCTGTATTGCCATGTCCATAACAATATTTATTGTTTTTCCTTCATTGCAATGGTTAGTAGATGCTTTTTGTCTGTTTTATTTTTGTTTTGTTTTATTTTGTTTTTGTTTTCATTTTTACTGGTCTTCATACTGTTCTCCAGCTACAACAAACCTATGTCTCACTACAGAATAAACTGTAACACCTCCAGCTGCCAGGTCCCTCTGAATTGTCTTTACTTGTTTTCTTAGGATTAATTAAGCTATTTTGCAGTAATGCTTTGTTAGCATTTTACTTTTTTTTCCTTTTTCTTTTCTTTTTCAATTTGTACTTTGTGTTTCTGTAAGACTGATTCTGTTTCACTGTGGACTTGAAAGATACTTGAGATACTTGAGGACACGTCAACAGTCACTACGTTTCTATCAGTCTTTGAAGGGTGATCTTTAAGAACTACAACTTTTATAGGTTTCCTTGGGGGTAATATCCATTCTTCAAAAGCACAGAATTAAAGAGACAAAAAATGAGAGCAATGAAATGTGTATGGCATGAAATTGAGTACTGAACCAACAAAGAACTAACTGAAAATATGGAAACCATATCAATGCATATTGCTTGACACAAGGTCTGGCATTTTGAGGCAATCTAGTATAAATAGAAGCACACTTACATACACACACACACACACACACACACACACACTTACTTCCATTGCTGTCATAAAACAAAGCGAAATAAAAATTATTGCAAGTTCCAAAACATTAACACACCACTATATTTATATATAAATATTTATACACACATACTTAGACACTGATTTTCATATGCACTGTTTTCTCCACATTTCTAAATTCTTAGTCCTTTAATTTTCCTCTTTGTGCTTAGTGTTCATAGTACTTTACGGATCATAAAATACTTCTGAAATGACAATTAAATATTCTAATGTGCACTTAAACTGCATTTAGATTTGGGCAGTTTACAAACTGAATGCTGTATAATTGTAATGATCAAGTTTAGCCCCAGAAAAGAACAGAGACACTGCACTTCTCTCTTTTTTCTGAAGAAGTGAGGGACTGTGGATGCAGAGTATTGCATAGACTGTCGGACTCAGATGATACATTGGCAGGTTTGTTTAACATTTTCTCCCTCTAAAGTGCCTATTATGTATACATCATGCATAGATATCCCATATAAACCTATGGTATATCACATGGTTAGTTTTAAGTTTTCATTTTTATTTTCCCTTCTTTGTTACAAGAAATGACTCATTGGGTAGAAGAAACAGTGGGATATATTTAGAAACAAAGGTGATGATGACGATGATGAGATATATATATATATATACACATATATACACATATATATGTGTGCACACATATATATGTGTATATGTATATTTGTATGTATATATAATTTTTAAAAGATGTCAGGGTTTAGTGTACTAAAAAAATATGAATTTAAAAAATACAGGCGGGGAAGACATTTCAGTACAAAAAACTAAGATGAATTAAAGCTTCAGAGTGTCCAGAATTGAGAAAGGTCATTAACCTGCTCAGAACACATCTGGAGTTCAACCCTGAATGAAAAATTTAAAAATAAATTGACAAGTTGGAGTTAGATTGAAAGATGAACAGGATTTTTAGGGAACAAGGGTTTCTAAGTGGCACAGGAGATCGAGTACTGGCCCTGAAGTCAGAAAGATTCATCTTCCTGAGTTCAAACATGACCTCAGACATTTACTAACTGTGTGATCCTGGGCAAGTCACTTTACTCTGTTTGTTTCATCTTTTTCATCCTTAAAATGAGCTGGAGAAGGAAATAGCAAACCACTCCAGGATCTTTGCCAAGAAAACCCCAAATGGAGTCATGAGGAAAATGGCCTGAAACAACTGAACAAAAGGGACAATGACAGTCAAAAAGTACTTAAAGAGATTGGGGGCGTTTAGCCCAGAACAGATGATTCTTGGAGATGGAGGAGACAATTTCTTTGTCTTAAAGTATTTGAAGTCCTGACAAGTGAAACAGGATTTAAGTTCTGCTTATTCCCAGAGGGTAGGAATAGAAACAATTGTGGGAAGTGAACAGAGGCAGATTTAGGCTCCACATAAGGAATTACATTCTCAAAGTGAGACTTTACTGAAAGAAAATGGGTTATGCTTCAAGACTTTCTCTGTCACTGGAAACCATCTAGCAAAGTCAAGATGGCGATTTGTCAGAGATGTTCTAAACCATTGGATTCAATGATCTCTTAGGTTCCTTCCAACACTGACTTTCTGTGATTCTGATAGTAAAATTGGTCATTAATAAAGATACTAAGTAAGATGATCTTGCAGCAATATACGGAGACCTTCATTGGACTATGACGCTTCACTTACTAGAAATGAATTTATCATACAAGTTTTTCATTTCTAAGCTCAAGTAGCAGATGTTTTGTTTAAACAGATTGTCTATTATTTTTGTTTTGTTCTCTTCCCTCCTTGGCTCCCCCCACATTCAGTTACTGATTATTGATGGGCAGCAGTTAAGAACTGACCCTGCTACTGTGATGGATGATGTGCAAAAGTTCCTGGGAGTCTCTTCTCATTATAATTATTCTGAAGCTTTAACGTAAGTATATTTGTTACCTAACTTGCTTCATTTTTAGCTGTAAACTAATTTGGAAGTAATTATAGTGTGGTGCTACTGGTAAACAGTTGGTTGTTTCTTTCCATGCTAATGATTAGGTAGCTAGGTACATTAGATTAGGTAGTGCAATGGATATAGTACCGGGCCTGGAACCAGGATAACCAAATTCAAATCAGTCCTTAAATACTTATTATCTCTGTCACCTTGAATAAGTCATTCAACCTCAATTTCCTCAACTGTAAAATGGGGATAACAATAGTACCTGCCTCCTAAGATTGTTGTGAGAATCAAGTGAGATATTTGTAAAGTGCTTAGAATAGTGCCTGAACACAATCAGCACATAGTAGGTGCTATATAAATGCTAGTTATTATTTTTTTATGTTAATAACCATTGAGGGAAAAGTGGGACATACATTTTAATACTGAATTAGACTTCAGAAGCTCTGAGTTACTATTCCTAACTATCCCTGTAATTATTTTTAACTATCTCCCCCTCCCACTTGTCCTCTTCATAAGAGACTATTTGCCCCATCATTAATCCCCAAGGGTCCTGGGGCCTTTATATCTATCCTGCTTCTTTCCCTGCCTATAAACTACCTGCCTTTTCCATCTGCTGTGACCTGAACAGGCACATAAAGCCTTTTTAATGTGTTGTCTACTCCAATTAGAATGTGAACTCCTTGAAACTCAATTTTCTGTTTGTATCCCCCAAGCAACATAGTGATTAACATGTAGTAAGTGCTAAATAAATGATTTTCTATCCCATCCCATTCCAGGTATAGATTGGGGAAACAATCATTGTCAAGGGAGGGCAAAAACAGGAAGGGAAAATAAAAATGAAACCTAAAATCAACCGTGAGTTCTGAGCAATATACCATATGTTTATTTGTTATTTCTATATATGATGTACACATAGTAGGCACTTAAAAAAATAAACAATGAATCTCTAACAGTTGTGATATATCTGGTTTCAATACTAAGGTAGAATGCATGCTTTCTGGAGACACCAAAAATATGTTTCATTTTTCTATAACAGTCCATCATAAGTGATCAATAAGAAACTTTACAACAATATTACCATACTTTCTTAGGGATCCTCTCTGATTTCTCTTGAGTAAACATTTATTATACAAAGGACTATACTAGGTACTGGGGATAGAAAGACAAAAATGGGATAGTCCTTGCCCTCAGGGATCTATTATTCTATTGTGAGTATTAAAAAAAAAATGTTTATACACACACACACACACACACACACACACACATCCCAATAATTTTAGGAAGGAGAAGGCTCTAAAAACTTGTGGAATCAGAAAAGAGTTTTGTGTAGTTGTCCCTTACATTGATCTAACAATTCTAAGAGATGGCGTAAAGGAGCATTCAATTGCAGGGGAGAAGGGCAAGCAATGTAAAAACAGAGAAATAGGATATGAAATGTTGTCCTGATGTAAAATTTAGTGGACTAATTTGGAAGGAAGGTACAGTGTGTGAAGAGGAGTAATAAAAAATGAATCCAGAAAAAAAATAGGTTTATATTTATCTTTGTGGCGATGGAGATTTTCAGATTTGAGATGAGACATGATTGTTCCCAAAAAACCTTTCAATGAAGAGAAAATGAATACCTGTTGAATGTATGTTATATAAAATCAACTGCTGTCTTCATTCAGAGACAACTAAATAGGTCAGTGGTTAGAACATTGAATCTGGAGTCAGGACAACCAGTACTCAAATCCAGCCTCAGATATTAACAACTGTGTGTCCAACTGGGCAAGTCTCTCTATCTGCCTCTGTTTTCATATCAGAAAAATGGAAACAATAATAACACATAATGTTATTAAGTATTGTAATTATAATAATTATAATACCATTATAAAATAATAATGATATTTCCAGGGTTACTGTAGTGATGATTGCAAGGACTGTATTGATAAAATGCTCTATAAACCTTAAAGTGCTATATAATGCCACCTTTCATTATTAATTCAGAAATTTATTTGCCAATATCATTTTCGAAATCCTTCGCCACATTCCTATTTTTTTGCTATTTTGAATTTTATTTTTATACAGAATCAATAATATTTGATGTAGCCATATTAAATTGCTTTCCTATTTCAAACCAGGGGGAAAATCCCCCAGATTTTGTCAGTTTTCACCCTGTTGAAGAAATAGAATTTTTTTAAATTTCTGAATTGATCTCTCTCTCCATCTCTCCCCATAATGTGTGTGTGCACATATATATATATATATAAAATATATCCATATATATCCATATATATATTATCCTCTGTATGCATCAGGGAAAGATTGGTTCAGTAGTTTTTACAAGAAATCCAAATTTCCAAGAATTCCAAAATTCCACCTGATTTTTATCACCAATTCATTAGAAATTATTTTGTGTTCTTTTTAGGCATTAGTACTGGGGTGGTAGAGGAAAGATGCTGAATTTTTTACATTTCCCTAGTGATCTTCTTAAGAAATGTTGCAATATCTTCAATTTTTAATTTTTCTGCTCTTGTTTTCCTAAAATGTATTTAATTTTTAGTCACAATAAATTTCATTTTATTCACTTAGTTGTATATAATGAAACTAAAAATGAAATAGTTGTTGAGTAGGTTTGAAAATATTTCTCACTGTTTGAAGATTTTCAGTGTAGTGGAATGCATTGTAACAGGCTTTAACAAGTAATAAAATAACTTGGTGTGCTCAAAAAATATTTAAGTATAAATGTACATATACATACATATACATAATATATATGTATATATGTGTGTATATACATCATATACATGCATGCATATATACATACATATATATATATATATATATATATATATATACACACACACACACACACACACATACACACACACATAAAGGCATACAGAGGTTAAGTGATCTGCCCAGGGTTACACAGCTAATAAGGATTGTGTCCTTTTCTCTGTAGACTCTCTCTACTTTACTTGCAACACATGCTGACACATGGGCTGCAATTATCTTCCTGGTGTTCTTTGTTTTTACTCATCCAAAGTATTACAAGGCAAGATGAACAACTGTGCCACGGTATCAGGTTTCTCGTTTTCCTTATGCACTAGATAAAAACAGTTCTGTGAGCTCCTTAACTTGCTTCCCCAAGGAGAACCTGTGAAAATCATCCTTCCTTTTAACACCAAGTTATGTGTTTCTTCTGGTTTCATTTGTCAGTCAACAAGTATTTATTAAGTGTTTATCATGCTTCAGGCACTGTGTTCAGTTCTGCGAATACAAAGAAAGGTTCAAAACAAAAACCCCAATACATTCCCTCAAGGAGCTGACATAGAGTATAACTGGAAGGTAATCTCAGAGGAAAGGGACTATGGAGGGGGTAAAGGAATGGCAGAAAAGCTTCTTACCAAGGTTGAGATTTGAGCAGATCTATGAAGGGAGTCAGGGAAGTGAGGAGTCACAGGTGAGAAGGGAGAACATTCCAGGCATGGGGGACAGACAACAAAAACGCATAGAGTAGGATGATGGAGTGCCATGTATAAAGAATACCAAGTGGGCCAATATGACTGGATGACACGTGAATGGAAAAGAGAAAAGAAAGCACAAGAAAGCTGGACAGGTAGGAAGTGGCCAGATTTTGGGATTTTTAAATGCTAGAAGATGATTTTCTATTTGATCTTAGAGGTGATAGGGAATCTCTGGGGTTTAGAATGTCAATATTGGTCTAACTCAGTTCCTCCATTACTGTGTGAACATGTTGATCATTTTACAAAGATATCAAATTTTGAATATAAATAGTTTAGCTGTTCTGTTAATTTTAAACAACCAACAAAACAAAACAAAACAAAAAAACCATTTAAAGTACACATCCACATGCCTCCAACATTGTATCTCCTTAGTGGCTTCTGAGGAGGACGGAAGAGTATTGTAAATAGATGTGTGAGGTGAATTTACCTTCATTTCTCAGTTTCCTGTGTCTGAATCAAAAGGCAAGTATCCATCTCTATAACCCATGGATCTGACTCAGAAGAAAATTTGTTGTTTTCTGAAAAGTTATGAACCAAGCTTTAAAATAAATTGAAAAAGGTGTACTATTGGATACCCCTATCTTATTTCTCAGTATGAAACTTTCCCTGTATTCAATACTGTATATGAATAGATCTCATCACCTTCATGGTAGCATTTTTCTTATATAAACCTGGGAAGTGGGAGGAAAATAAAGGTTTCTTTGACTTTCAAGGTCTTCTGTGGTAAGTAATGGGTCAGAATAATACCTGAAAAACATAATTTCCTCTTTGTGTGATTCATACATGAAGAGTGGATTGAGAGACCTAAGACTCTGGAAATTTAAACTCCATTTGTGGCCTTCCTTTTGATTTGGTTGTTACATTTGACCTCTTATTTCTGTAAGCTTGCAGATCTCTCCCAGTGTTTTTAGCATTGGTACTGACTCAGGTACACACCTGTAAGTATTTAACATTCACTTGACCTTTAAAAAAAAAAGAAAAGAAAAACTAAATGGTTGTAGTTTTAAATTGGAAATTCAAGTCTTTATTTTGACTTTCCAAGAATCTTAGGAAAGAAGTTTTTCCTTTTTTTTTTTAAAGGGAAAAAAAGTCTCCATTTAGTGCTTTCAAATTGGCTGTTGTTTGGTCTTAGGTTTTTTTGTTTTGTTTTGTTTTTGTTTTGTTTTTTTCAGACACCCTATAACAAAACAGTAAGTTGGAGTCGAGGATTCTATAAAGATAATCTATTTTTTTAAGAGCATGATCTTTGACCCACGTACTACGCATCTGTCTCCTATCTAACTGCCTCGAGCCTATTTTTCATTCATCTCTTTTGCCAAGAAAAGGAGACATAAACTTAAGAGAATAAAGATCAAAACTACTTGTTCCATACAAGAAATTGTAGGTCAGTCGGCAGTTGGGTCATGCCCAGCTGAAAATGCCCATTATGTGATTTTTTTCAACTGCCTGGTATTCAGTGGGTTGAATAGTACT